GAGATCAGGTGCCACGGAGGAGTAATCATCCACTGTCGAGCGCTCACACCTAACATGTGCTCCTTGTCATGATATAACGAATTTGGCGATGAATTGAATTTCCCATGTTTTAGGAAATACACTTATGGAATATGGAATTACAATACACCGGGTGCGTTCAATCGTCACAGTCTGCTTACCACAACTGCACAGACTGACAATATATTGTGTGTTTGTTTTCCTTTCGAACATACATGTACAGTAGGGGGACAAAAGTGTTGAGATGAAAAAAAATGGAGTCACTAAAATAAATTATAGATCCGCGCGTATTAAAAGTCGTGTATTTTTGTTCAGAGTTGGAATTTCGGAAATTCCCCTGAGATATAAATAGGTCAGTACAAATGACGTATAGCATGACGTATATTTCGTCATCTGCTTTAGTTTTGTTGACGATCTAACTCGGTAACAAAATGGAGACGAAACGTCAGGAAATCTCACAACCCCTGAAACAAGTAATTGTGGAACTTTACTTAAACGGAGAAAAAATGTCAGCTATTGCAAGAAGTGTCAATAGGTCTCTGGCTTCAGTGTACCGTATTGTACGTAAATATGAAGACACAGGATTAGTGGAGAATTTGCCAAGATCGGGTCTGCCTCGTTCTATCGACGATCGGGACTATCGGAGGCTCCAGGGGATTGTTAATAGAGACCGGAGAGGACCCTTAGGAGAAATTACAGCGCAGTTTAATGAAAACAGAGCAACATCTGTGTCTCAGAAGACTGTCAAACGTAGACTTCTAGAAAATGGTTTCACTAGAGGTGTGTATAAGAAAAAAGTTGTGATTAAAAATGTAAATTGAAAGAAACGCTTGTCATGGTGTAAGGAGAAGAGATGGTGGGGTGTACAAACTCAGTGGTCCAAAGTTATATTCAGCGATGACTCTCAGATATGCGTCAGGGAAAATAATCGCTTTATGTTTGGAAAAAAGCAGGCGAGGGTTGGAGACCGGACTTAGTGCCACGACAAAAAGACCGCAAATTCAGTAGCATGGTGTAGGAGTGCCTGTGCTTCGGCGGTATCGGAACTTTGTGTCGGGTGGAAGGGAACATTAATTCAGAAAAATATATTAACATTTTAGATTCAAACCTCTGGCCAGTTATAGTGCGGCATTTTCCACAAGGAAGTTACCTCTTTCAAGATGATAACGCCCCCGTACATCGCTCTCGTGTTACACAGGATTTTATTGCCAGAAACCATATTAAGGACATGAGCTGGCCTGCACAGTCTCCGGACTTAAATATCATAGAAAATGTATGGCTTTATATTAAAAGAAAGCTCCAATCACGGATGCACAATATAAATTCTGCAGTCGAACTTTTTCAAGAAACGCATAGGATATGGCAGGACATCAACGTAAATTATGTCAGATATCGATTCCAAGAAGAATACAAGAGGTCATCAGATTAAAAGGTCATCTTACTAAGTATTAAGGTAAGTTATTTGTGGTTTTGTCATAGTAAGTCAGCTGTCAAGACGGTTTTCCGCACAAGTTGTCTCTCTTCTGTTGGAAACGTGACGCCATTTTTTCTCAACACTTTTGTCCCCCTACTGTATCTACTCCGATTTTTCTGGATTATAGTATTCATATATTTTTCATTTATACACAACGAGATATATCTCGTATACGCTACACATACAAGTTCCAAAACATTTCGTCAAATAAAACATAATTAAATGACAATACTGCAATAAAATAACATTTAACTATCAATTATAAATATTTGACGACACGTACAGTGTTATTTTGATCGTATCAACTGTAAAACGACAATGTTTATGTCACATGACTATTTTCTTCGTAAGAAAGATGGCAAGCGCCCAATTTACAACACATGTGATAATGCTGAAATAAGTAAGTAAATTACAGTCGTAATATGGTAGATAATGATGAAAAACTGACCTACAACATCTCAGTATAACTGTCCCTTACTGTCTGTTCAACAATATCTCACTAGATCATCTAATAACACAAAAACAGCATTTGTTTACATAACAATGTCGAAGTGCAATGTGTATTGCATCAATAATTCAAGTAAACAATAAGATAATGAAATAACATGAACAATAAAACATTTCTAATAAACTTACAACTGTATGCCACTTTACTTCACAAAAAACACTCCACCATCAGTCTGTGATTAATATGCAAAATTCTAAAGTCCAACCCGCATGCATATTACACTTCCCCCCACTTAAAAAGTCAAATTCTCCTGAATTTACAGTCTTAATTAAAATCTTCTGGTTCTGCTAGCTTCTTGCTTCCATCATCAATGAAATCTTTATCCTTCTTGCACTCGACCACTTCTTCATATGATTCTTGCTGATCTCCCTTAGGTAATTCTCGCACATCTGCCTGCTCATCCGATGTTTTTTTAGCTGCTTCTCTCTCCATCTCTTCCTTGTGTCTATTTACTGCCTCTCTCTCTGTTTCCTCTGCTCGCCTCTTTGCTTCTTTCTCCATCTCCTCCGCTCGTCTCTGCGCTTCTCTCTTCATCTCCTCCGCTAGCCTCTTTGCTTCTTTCTCTATCTCCTCCTTGCGTCTCCTCACTGCTTCTCTCTCTATCTCTTCCGCTCGCCTCTGTACTGCTTCTTTCTCTATCTCCTCCTTGCGTCTCCTCACTGCTTCTCTGTCTCTTCCGCTCGCCTCTGTACTGCTTCTCTCTTTATCTCCTCCGCTCGTCTCTGCACTGTTTCTCTCTCTATCTCCTCTCATCTCTCGTTGTACAGATAAACAGTTTATATGTTGAAAATCCACCATCCATCCCATATATAAAGTATACAGCTCCCTGTGCATAAGCTAGTACAAGATTTGGAAATTCTTGTTAGAATAAAATGTATGTAGTTGATAAAGGTTGCTTCCTATGGGAATCAGTCAGTCAATCAGTCAGGTCTCATTCTTCATTGTTTTTGTAGATTCCTCCCAGGATCAGGAAGTCACATCAATTATCCATTTATAATTTTATTCCAGTAGTAGATTGAAACCAACAAAAGTATCAGTTCGGTCCAGCCCTAGACAACTGTTTTCCCATCAGTCCCGTCTAACCCTAGACAACTGATGTCCACCTACAGTCCGGCCCAGCCCTAGACAACTGAGGTCCACCTACAGTCCGGCCTAGCCCTAGACAACTGAGGTCCTAATGTGCAATAATAGTAATGGCCAGTCACTATCTACACATTCACCTAGTGTGGTGCACCACCTAGGACAACATCCACCTTAGACATGTGTCAATAAAATAAAACAAAAAAATCGGGTATCATCATACTACTTTCTGACATCATTTAGTTTTGTGGTGTGAACTTCCTGAACCAGGGTTGCAAGTTGATGCCTCAATATAGCATCAATCTATCCTATGAATTAAGTCAAGTCATCTAGTTTTCCTGTTACAAGGTCCTTTTCTTTGAGAGTTTAATAAAAATTCCATGTGAAATAATCGATGCAGTAGATCCACTATCCTAGAAAATCTATTGTTAAATATGTTTCCTTTGTATAAAATCCATTGTCCCATGAGAGAGTTATATCCCCTGTGTGGCCATTCCTAGTATGTTCATTTCCAACAGAGAGACATTCCTCTTGTGCCGACTCCTGACTTAATGATATCTGTTGTTATCTCTCATGTTTCCACTGCCATGTCTTTTATTCAGGTTAGAGGCCATGGTCATTTGTTGTCCTCTTGTCCATCGGTCTGGGCAGTCCTTCATGAGATGATCTGGTGAATTGCAGATGAAGCAAGTCCAAGAGTTATTGCCCTTCCGTGGTTCCATTCTCTGTGCTCTTTCCAGTTTCTCTAATCTATCGATTAGTAACTTGACTGTTTGCTCTAAGTTCTTTGATTTTTGCTCTCCAGTAGGGTGTTTGACTACTTGTTCTTGATCCACATGTCTAACATTTATTTTCTTTTTATCCCCATCCCCCATTATTGACTCGTATCTTTCAATAACGTCTACAGCTTCTGCAACAGTGCTGCACTCCTTGTCAATACAACGACATTTCATTTCAACGGGAAGAATTTTGTAAAGGTGGTTCAGGGCCAGTGATTCCTGAGCGTCAAGGTCCAAGTTACTATAAGCTTTTTGTGATAATTGCCGTATATCGTCTCCAACCTCTGCAATACTTTCTCCAGGCATCCGCTTACGCATTTCCAGTTTTGAAAGCCACCTATTTTTGAGTTTTGAGCTACCAAATCTCTGGTCCATACGCTGAACAAGAATTTTAAACGTGCGTCTTTCCTCAAGTGTTAGGCTCATGTAGAAAGTCCTGGCCTGTCCACGTAAGCTAGCGGCTAAGAAAAGAAGTTTTGTCCTGTCGTCCCAGTGGCTTAGTTCAGCGCAGTCCTGAAAGTGAGAAAAGTATTCCTCCCAACTTTCTTTTCCATTGTAGGGTTCGGGTTTGATCAGAAGTGTAGAAATGCGATTGTGATCACTATGTGCGTCGTCAGCTAACTGATAATCAGATCGCCGATGGAAATTATGTTCTACTTCGTCGTCAACGTCACTGTCATTTCTTCCCAAAGGATTTTCATTTGCCATTAAATATTCGTCATCAGTGTTCCTCCCACAGACATCTGTTTCGTCCCCTTGGCCTAACTGAACATTTTCCCTATGTTCATTTATAAATACTTCAGGATCCGGCGAAGTAGCATCCTCCATTTTTTTAACTATAAAAACAGTAAGAAGAACATTATATGCATCACTATTTTCAAATAGATTTTTTATTCTCCACCACACGAGAGTCCGCAATCCACTCTACTTCAGTACTTGACAGGTATTAAAGTACGGGTTCGTATCCTAGATGTCCTCGTATATGGCAGGACATCCCACTTCTGACACCAAAAATTGTAAGCTTCCTCAGCACCCTGTCAAATGCCAATCAGCTTACAGTGTTTCCATCCCGTGTAAAATCAATTATATAATTAAATTTTATCAGGACTACTCATGACATCCGTCCTCATATAAAAAAAAGGGGGGGGCATCCTCAGCCCGTCGCATGTATTTAAACACCATTGATAATTTACTTCACATCCTTGTAAATCATAACCAAGTTCCATTTCTCGTTTCAAATATTTCATTTAATAAAGACTTCAATGAAATTTAACAAAAGTCAGTACATCTATATAAGTCTAAGTCCTAGCTTAACATCTCTGGCCTAATAAAATATAGTGGATTGCGGTGTCCGTGCGGTGGAGAAATTATACGCTCCTTAATTTGTATTAGTTTACATTGCTTTCTCATACCTAAGTCGCTAGTAATTTACAGTCAGTGATGTTGATGACGTAATACGATCTGATCGTTACGACCGTCGTTGTGATGAAACTGGCGTTCGCTGCTCATATATATAACCTTCTATAATGGTCACGTGATCACAACAAACCAATGAATAATTGTCCTTTCTGGAGCCTCTCAGAACTACTTAACCTACATATTGTGCAAAACAAAGAAAATAATGTCGCCGAAAATGTCCTTTCTACATGTAAAGTAGGAGCTATAAACTCTATTTGATATACATAATAAAATAAGTTCAACAAACAATCTGTAATAAAACGGACACACACGATCCATGGCGTAGTAATACCGAACAATAATGTACACACATAAGTATTACGCTACACATACAAGTTCCAAAACATTTCGTCAAATAAAACATAATTAAATGACAATACTGCAATAAAATAACATTTAACTATCAATTATAAATATTTGACGACACGGACAGTGTTATTTTGATCGTATCAACTGTAAAACGACAATGTTTATGTCACATGACTATTTTCTTCGTAAGAAAGATGGCAAGCGCCCAATTTA